TATTGATTCAAAGAAGGATTAGGACACAGAAGGAAAGAAGAACAAAAGTAGATTTTACTTTTAATATCTTACTAAAAAATTTTCAGGAAAATCAACCATCACAACAGGAAAATAATGAAGCTAAAATATCTTAAAATCACTAGCTGGATGTATTTACACATAACACCCAAGATTCACAAGACTTAGAAAATTGCTCACATTAACCAAGTAATTGAATCTTTCTTTACCTCTGAGAAATGATTAACTTTTTAAAAGTTGAATTTTTTTTATTAATCTGAAAAACACACACACACACTTATTTGGAGGCATTTATTCTCAGTAAGCTTTCTTAATTAAAATTCCAGCATTGGGATTGGCTGTGGCAACATAGGCAATGTGGCAAGGTTAATAGATTACTTGGGTAATTTGATCTGTAAAGATAGCTGATGTAGGTACGTAACTGTAACTCGGTACCCCAAGTTTTGTGGTAAGTTTTATTTGCCTGCCTTGCCCAAGTAATTACATCAAATTTCCACATCACCTGGCTGTGTAGGCATAGTGAAGGTATTTTAGCTTATGCTCAGCGGGTTGAGAAAGCCTGACTTGCATAATTAGTATTCTGCCTTTAAAACATCTATCTATGAATGCTTAACTGCATAATGTGCCTGAACTTGTCTTCTGGAGTTTCTTATGTGGGTTGATATTTACCATCCATAACTGTGGCACTTTATGAGCTTACCTAAGAATATACTTCCTTCTTATATTCCTCTCTCCCTTCCTCTCTTTTCCCCTTATTTCTTCCCTTCCTTTTTATTTCTCCCAAATATTTTTCATAAAATCATATAATGCTGGAATTTGGTGGAATCACAGCAATTGGACTATTCTCAAATTTCATGAATTCCCATACCACACTCATGAATTTTTACATATCTATTTATTTAATTATTTGTAATAAATAGGGCACCATCCTGTGCACCAGAAGGTTGCTGGCTTGATTCCAGGTCAGGGCACATGCCCGGGTTGTAGGCTGGATTCCTGGTGGGGGATGGGCAGGAGGGAGTCAATCAATGTTCCACTCTCACATCAATGTTTTTTTCTCTCTCTCTGTCCCTCTCCCTCTCTCTCTCTAAAATTCAATAAAAAAACTTTTTTAAAAACCTTAGATACTTTCTTAGATGCATTTTAAAAAACTATATTAAAAATCGTATACTTAATATGCTGATTATATTTTCTTGATAAATAATAGAAGAAATGTGCAACAAATAAAACAAGTTTATACACCTAAATTTATTTGCTTTAAGAAATACTGTTCTAGTCTGGCCTTCAAATGAGAAAGCTGAGGCCCAGAGAATTAAAGTGATGTTTTCTAGAAGCAGTTAGGAGCAGAGCTCTATGTTGAAAACGTGCTTTCGGATGCTTACATCTAGACCTTTGCTACTACACTACACTGACTTATGATGTTAGTTACCTTGAGGCAGGGCTTGTAAGAATCACTAACTAACATATGAGAGAATAGCCATTAGTGGCAAAGTCATGAAAACAACCCCCTTCTTATTTATTTGTGCTCTAATAACTCTTAGGCCACCAAGGGACCAGAGATACTTCAAGACAGTGGTCCTCAAACAAGGGTACTAATACAGGAGTTTACAAAGATGAAAAGAACATGGATCCTGCTAAGGATGTTTTCAGAGCTACACCTTTCCTGGGAATCCTTCCCTGGGAAAGGGTCTATGGTTAAGACATCCCTATTCATAACTGCCCTTTTGCCACCTTACAGAAGTAAGTCCATTGCATTGCCCTGGAGTGAAAACACATTAGCAGTGACACCAAACACATGGATACCTGAAAAATACTGTGCCATCCTGGTATAAGTGTGAAAGAGTGAAATTTCATGTGTGGTTAACAAATCAGAGGTAGTCTCTAATTCTTTGCTTTCCACAAAAATGAGGACGAAAGAAATTTTAAGTTGCTGGATTTATAAAATTAATTTTGCATGATAGACCAATATATAAATTTGGGCACGAAAGTTGTTTAAAGGTCCAACAAATAAGTGTCACAACTATAATAAAAGTCCTTCCAAATTTACTAACAAATAAGGTGTTTTAGCACTGACCTCAATTAAAATAACAAGAATAGAATTAACACTAAATCTATAATTCAGTCTATTAGTATATAATATTCAAATACAGATCTATTGGGAAAAAAACCTAGCTCAATCCATCTCATTAAAGAGATAGATATCCCCAAAGAGGTATTTTTAAAACATTACTTTTAATTTAATATGCTTAGCAATATTTTAATATGATTTATATTAAACATCCAATGCTGCAATCTATTTTATTCAATTTTAACTAATAATTGTAATATTACTCAGGAGAAATATTTTTTAACATTAGTACCTATTAGGAAGTTTAAAGAATAAATTTAATTTATATTTTTTCTGCAAAGGACTATAATAAAATTATTAAGAAAAGACTTTCAAGAATAAAATTATATTAGTTACATGAATAAAAGTATATAAAATTAGAATAAAATCTGGTGAGGAAGAGAAAAAGAAGTTCAAAAAATAAAAATATTTAAAGTTTCTTTAATTGGTAAATAAGAGCTTATTTAAAAGCTGCTATTTTTTTAGACTGCTGTTTTTTTTAAGATGGATGATAATAGGGAATCTAATCACCTTTGCATTTATAGTCCATAAGCTGTACTTAAAATTATAAAACAACTTTATTTTTAAAAGTTGATATTCAAACTAAGTTGGAAATTACATAATTTATAATTATTTTTATTTTGGACACATTTTAGATGTCACCGTAAAGTTTTGCAAGGGTTGTATCAATTTTCGAATTCCTTTAGGGAATACACAAACAGGAAGTTTGAGGCTGCAGAGTGCTGCAAGGACTAGTCTCTGCCTCATACTCGTTTCCCAGAAATGAAAACAGTAACCGGCCCAAGGAACATTCTGGCATCTGGATTCTGCCAGAGCTCCTGGGACAAACCTTCAGATGTCCAGGACCCAGGCGAGCACGGAGTCTCTGTGGCTCTTGTGCCTACCTGACTAACATCTATAGGAAAGTTCAAAACCAGATAGAGGAAGCTGCACTGGTTATAAAGCAATCTTCTCCAGCCCCCGTACCACTACAGAACATGCTTCTGTATTTACCAGAAAAAAATAAAGTGGTTCTTTTTCATATTCTTATTAAAGTTGGAACAATCCAAGACAGATAAGATTAGAAATAATTTGAATAAGAAAAACAGCAGCATGCATTTAAAATGTATGCATATATGTAAAACAAATGTGCACTTTTAAAAGTTGTGTAACCATGGTATTGTTTAGTTATTAAATATTTGTAGATTAATTTAGTGTTGAAGTTACTGAAATTGTCTTAAGACAGTTGATTCCGATTAGAATTTTCACTCTGGTACTAGTTCTAATATCGCAGGAAAATAAAAATTATTTATGTTCTGTTCCAGCAACATCATGTCATCCAAAGCTTATAATTGGAGGATATACATGAAGTTTCCTTTAATTTTCTTTTCTAATTTTCCTCTGTGAGTGTTTTGCAAGAAATAAAAGAGAAAGACAGGAAGGTGAAATTTCCTCATACATTCAACATGATTGGGCTTTTAAATATAAAAGTATAAAAATTGCTAAAAATGATTTTAGTGAAATTAGTAATTTCAATCAAGACATAACATTTCAACACAGTTGAAGGATCAGGCAGCTTTTAACTTTATCTTCAGAGCAATATAAAATACAGATTTTATACTGTTCTATTAACTCTTGACTATATTCAAAAGTGATGGACTTCTCTTTTCCCAAAAGTATTTATCCTCATTTGGGGATAAATGAAACAAAAATTAATGAAACCTAACACTCTGTGAGCACATTTGCACAAGGTCTTTCTACAGAGCGAGAATCTGGGAAAAAAACCCTATTATCAATGCCAATACACTCATTTGTGGTGTCCTCCTATCTTCCAGAATTACCATTTTGCCTTATGTCACTTATATTCCACTCCAAAATGTTGCAAAGAAGCCATGGAAACCATTATCATTGGAAGGGAAATATTAGGAAAAAATACTTTCATTTAAGAAAATTTGCTTCTGTGCTAGGCTTGTAAGGGATTTATTATAAACACCACATTGCTTGGAAAATCAGAAACATAAAGATCTAAGCAATTAGGAGAAATGTCATTCTTGAGTATGAATTGCTTTATCAAATTGAAATAAGACTTCAGATAATGTTGATAAATACAATTGCCAGACAGTCCCCAGCTGTTTCACTTTTATTACCGATCAGGATGATTTTTTTAAAAAAACACACAACTAAATCCAACATTTCTACTGGTGTCAAAAAGGTAAAATACCCGAAGATTGGGTTTGACACATTTTGGAAAAAAAAAAATCCCAGGATTCAGCCATAGAATATGACTTGATAGAGAAGATGGATGAGTAAGATGACAGATTTTGGATATAAGCTTAGGTAGGTGCAGCCATAGGATTCAGGTCATTGACTTATGAGAAAGGAGAAGGTGAGTAACATCTCGCCCTTTAGATCAAAATCATGCCCCTCTTCATGCCTCATTCAGTGTTTAGTATATTTAGCTGTGATATTTACAATAACCATAACAGTGTTCCAAGTTGATTAACGTTTAATCACAACTGACTAAGCAAGTAGGCATGAAAGACAGAATAAGTCATCATTACTACTCTCTTATGCGTATCCTTACAATATTCAAGGATTTAGAGACTCTACAGCTAGTTTTATCTTACCTATTTTATCAAAGATCAGCTAACTCAAAGTGAACTGAAACTGTAAAATATATTTATTTAATAGCCTCAGGTGTTGTCTAGAACTCTGCTAAAGTTTTCACCCAGTTAAGGAAGGGGCTGCTTTCTCTAAGTCACAAACATTTCTCAGGACCGAAGTCTACTCCGAGCTTGGCTTTGACATTTTGGTCTGAGGGAAAAGCCTTTGTCCCAGGTGAATGGGGAGGAAAGGCAAGAAGGCTGTGCCTGACCTGTCCCTCCGTCTCCATGTGCAATCCGAACAGAAGCACTCAGCTCCCCGCTGCAGCCCTGGGCGATCTCCTCATTTTCTGCGGGTTTAGGCACGTCTGGTCTGCAGCCCAGGGTTCGGCAGGCTGTGGGACAGGAGAATTTAACAAATTAAGCTCTTATCCGTTGCACTGAAATACTATCTTTGATTATGAATAGGAATTAGCCGAATCATTTGGATGTTTTAAAGATGTAAATGAAATATCCGCTTCAATATCTGTGTAAGTACCAATGACAACGTACAATCTGCAGCCTACTTAGAACAGGGGGAAAAGAAGACAGCTCCTTTTCACAGTTGGATGTTTCAAGTTAGATGTCCAATATTTTTTGAGTAAAATACCCAAATATGTGGTATTTTGTTTTGTTCTGTTTCAAGTACTATCATAAAATAATGCTCTTAAATTTGGCTTAGCTCCACGAGGTAGGAGTAATTAAAGAGTGACCCTGAGACCCATTCTGGGCAACGATGAAACGATGTGAACACTCACAGGCTGTGTGAGGCTCACAGCCCAGAGAACGCAGCTCTGACAGATTTCTTTCCCGTCTCCTAATTAGGCTAACCCCCTACAGTTATGAATTCAGAAATAATGGGAACTGAAAAAAAGAAAATGCCACCTTTTATACAATAGTAGTAACAATTCATTGTAAGACTTTTATTGATTTAGGTACAGTTTACCTTACGAAGCCAAGACCCTCCTGGTAATAAAGGAGAAAACCCAATTGCTTGGAACACTGAACTCAGAGCTTGATAAAAAGTTACTTTTTTATTTACAAACTAGAGGCCTGGTGCATGAATTTTGTGCATGGGTGGGGTCCCTAGTCCTGGCCGGTGATCAGGGCCTATAGGGGCTTTCTTGCCCAGTCCTGATCAGGGCCGGGCTGGCTGGGGCCTGCCGGCTGGCCACCAGCTGGGGGAAGGGACAGGGGAGGGACTGTGGGAGGTTTGCTGGTTGGGGGAAGGGACTGGGGAAGGTTGGCTGGCCATGGAAGCACACTGACCACCAGGGAGCAGCTCCTGTGTTGAGCGCTTGCCCCCTGGTGGTCAGTGCGTGTCATAGCGACTGGTCGACTGGTGGTTCTGGTTGTTTGGTCATAAGGTCACTTAGACTTTTATATATACAGGTAGTCCTTGGGTTACGTCGGACTCGATGTTTGTCGTTTCATGGTTATGTTGCCATCTCCCATTTATTTATAAAAAAAAATTCTGTCATTTCGACATATGTACATATGTGCTTTATGTTTATCCTTATTTATTTACCACAAGTAAAGGTCAGGAATTGTTATCTTTTAAATTTTTTTTACTGTTTCACTTTATTACTGCTGCGTATGTGCTCCATGTGAGTGACATAGGTGTTTATGTAGGTGGGTTCCGACTTAAGGCAAAAATACTGTTACGTCGCGCTACAGGAACGGATCTCTGACGTAACCCGAGGACCTACTGTAACGATATAAAACCTCCAATTCCCCTTCTCCTTGATCACATTTGCGGAGAGCACTATAATTGTCACATCATTTTCTCATATATTAGAAATGTGACAGTATCATTCTGACATTCAGTAAATGCCCATGTAAGGATTTTTCAAGAGGTTGTTTCCTCCCAATTTCAGTTAATTTTACATTCAATGTTCTGTTTAGCAATACATTTCAGTGCAGAGAGAAAACTATCCATTTGCCTGGACTGCTATGTCTCTTGGTTACCCCTCATTGGAAATAAGTGTTCTACCTGGTTCATTCGTCCTGCCTTTCAAACCATTTTGACAAGCCTATTGCTTTAATCAAAGTACAAAAAACACTCTACTAAATGCAGCAGTGAAATAAGAAAGCCATTTTTAAAACCATTGCTATTTGTCAGTTAAAAGAAATGGGGCAGGTTTGAAACTTCATGATGATAAAATTTTTCACCTAGTAATTTTAATAACTGATGTGCTCATTATGATATTACGTAATTTAAATTTTGTTTTTAAGGACATTTTTGCAAAGTGTGGAGAGAATGAACAACCAACGTTTATATTGCAGTTTTGGTTCTATATTTTCCTGTTATTTTGGATTTGGACATTCATTCCTTTTATAACTTAGGAAGGAGACATCAAGTTAGAAAAGTTATGTTGCAGATAGGCACATAGTATATTTCTACTCCTCCTACCCACTATGGCCATGCTTGTAAAACAACAGAGTGCGAGAAACATCAAAAATCATCTGGTGGCCCTCCGTCCCTTTACAGATGAGCACACTGAAGCTCAGGGGGCCAGCATAGTTTTGTACAAGGGCTTCAATTTTAGAGTCAAATAGAACCAGGCTTGAACTCTGTCTTAGTCACAATGTAAACTTGAGCAAGTTACTGAAACTTCCTGAGCCCTGGGGTCCCCCTTTGTGAAATGGGGATGATAATCATTCGTGGCTAGGAATGCCTTTTAGGATTTCATTAAGATGAATAATAGCGTAAATACATAAACAGTAGACACTTAGTCCTTCTTAGTCCTCTTCCCCCTTTTAAGGCAGTAAAGTACATTAGTGACAGAAACCTGCTTTGAATTTTGAGCACAACAGACATCTATTTTGTGTTGTTTCTACCACAATTGCAAATGAGTCCCCAAGGAGGCTTTAGCTTCTGGAATGGAAATCTCTCTCTATTTCCTGCCACTTTCAACCACATAAGTTTTCTCTGCCTCGCTCTAGGCTAGACTGCTGAGGAAGAGCAGCGGATCAGTAGTTCTGGGTGGTAGGATCCTGTTCGAGGTCGCTCTTTCTCGTCATGCTCCCTTGTTCTCCAAGGACTAGTGCCGATCTTACTTCCTAACCACCCGCGGACCTTCTCTAGGGCCTTTTAAATTTCTAGTTCAATGCATATGAGTAATGATGTTTAGATAAATGAGAAGGCAGAGGAGAAATTGCAGACCTGAATGTCCAAAAGGTTTCTGCCAAGATGATGATGATGATGATGATGATGATGATGATGACGACGACCAATAAATAATCAATTTCTGCCAAGATGATGATGATGATGATGATGATGATGACCAATAAATAATCAACGTTAGTGACTGAAAGAAAAGCCCAGACATACTAGGATGCCACAGGAGACTGTGGGGCTATGACAATAAATGCATTACTTAATGAAGTGCCAGTGTTTACAAAGGCCATATGTTTAATTTTTTTTATAAATTATAGAAGATTTAAGATTATCTTTCTAAAGACATTATTTCTACTCAATTGCATTTTACTACATTTTCTTTGGAAGAGAGAGAGGTTGGCTGGGAAATAAAGCGAATAAGATCGGTATTTGGCACGGGAAAGAGCCTGCCTTCAATATGTTGAAACCTATAAGAAGTCTTACTGATATACTGAAAACAGTTGTACATAAAATGAATACATAAATACAAGGCTCTGTGTGAGGAGTTTGATATTTGGCAGTAAGACGGGCCAGCGCACATCACTCTTCTATAGGAGGAATTATATTGTCAGGGCTTTCTGACTCATTCTCATTCTTCCCCATACTGTGCCCTAAGCACAGGTGTATAAACATTGAGATGAGGCACGATGGGACAAAGAACACCCTTTAACTTTCTCCTCCTGACCACACGGAACAGATGGAAGCCCCACTAGCGGCATAGTGAGGTGGAATCCTAGTTATTTGAACCCAAACCAAACACAGGTAAGACAGAATCAGGGAAATCTTTGTCAGTAGCAGGAAATGCACTTAGACTCTACACTGATTGCAGGAGATATTAATCTGAATTTCATTAAATCCGTATTTCTCATTTGGTGGATATTATCCAAAGATCACCCCTAATGCCTTTGCCTGGGGTTCTCCCCGAGCTGCATTTTCTACAACAGAATAAAATGTGAAGTAGCTAACTTTAAGTCTAAGCACTCACTAAGATAAGAAGGTTTTATTTATTGAATTTAATAAATACTCCCCCTCTTAAATAAAAGTCATCTGCAATAAAAGAAAAAAATAGAAATAGAAACTAAGCAGTAAGGAAAAGGAGAAAAATGCACGTGCTAACCGTGGAAGTGAGCTTGACAGCCATGGTTAATTTTAAAATTACCCTCTGCTATTCCTGGCAGCCAAGACAAAAGGTAATCATTTAAAAGTTGCATACTTTGCATCATACACCAAAATTCATTTGAGAGATACAAAATAAACTAAATCTATAAAGTTTTTAAAAGAAAAAAAACATAGGAGAATTTCTTTGTGACTCAAATATCTTCTAAAAGGCCACAGAAAATAAATAAAAAATTAAATAGACCCTCAAAATTATACAAAAGATAATAAGAAAATGAAAAAGCACACACTTGCCGAAATAGTCCATCACATTACACATGACTAGTAAAAGATTTATATCATAATATATAAAGATCTCATACTACTCAATAATATAAAAGCAAACAGTCCAAAAAATATAGTTGGCAAAAAAAAAATGAACAAAATGGAAGATATATGAATGGCCATGAAATACATGAAAAAGTATTCAACATCATTAGTCACCAGGGAAATGTAAATTAAAATTACAATGGGATACTACTATATACGCATTGGAATAGCTGAAATGTAAAAACCTGACAGCATGAAATGTTGGAGAGGATTAGAAGCTCTCCTGTGTGTAAAATGTTGTACTCACTTTGGAAAACATTAAACCCTCTGATCTACTAAAGGACTTGGACAAGAATGTTCATATCAGAGTTACTCAAATAGAATCAAACTAGAATCATCAAAACATTCATTAGTAAGAGAATTCATAAACAAATTGCAGTATATTCATACACTGGAACACTACTCAATCATAAAAAGGAATAGCTGTTAAACATGCAATAGTGTGATAAACATCAAAAACATTACGCTGAGCGAAGCAGAAGATAACCAAACGTATATACTATATTTTCCCCTTCATATGACATTTTAGAACAAGAAAACTCATTTTTGGTTTAAAAAATCTAAATGATTTAGTGTTTCCTATGGGGAGAAGGGGGCAGGTTAACTGGGAAGGGCATGAGAACTTTCTGGAATGATGGAAATGTTCTTGATCTTATAGGGGTATGGATTACATGAGTGTGTGTATTTGTCAAAATTCACCAAACTATATACTTAAGAGTTGTGCATTTCATGCTGTGTAATTTAAAAAGGGACAAAATTTTCTCTTGTTCAATTGTTGAAATAAACAATGCTCCATCTACAGTTTGAAAGGAAATTATGGAGCAGATTTGTATGTCTAAGGTACCACAGGGCTCCCAGGCATCCCCCAGTAAGTCAACTTCTTTTTTTTTTTTCCTAAATATATTTTTATTGATTTCAGAGAGGAAGGGAGAGGGAAAGAGAGATAGAGACATCAATAATGAGAAAGAGTCATTGATTGGCTGCCTCTTGCATGTCCCCTACTGAGGATCAAGCCCGCAACCTGGGCATGTGCCCTTGACTGGAATCGAACCTGGGACCCTTCAGTCCAGAGGCCGACGCTGTATCCACTGAGCCAAACCAGCCAGGGCAAGTCACCTTCTTGTTGTCATAATCTCTAGACACTTGATCTCAACTAATCTCTCCCCCTTGACCACCAACACTGGGGACAAGCAGCATTTGCAGCCCCAGAAGCTTATTAGACCTGCACATTCTAAGGCCCCACGAAACCAGAATCCTTGGGCTGGGACCCAGGAATCTCTTTAACAAGCCCGCCGAGTGATTGTGACACACTCACGTTCATGCATGAGACGCCTTGCTGCATTATAATCCAAGGGGGTGAGTTAGGAAACAGACACCATCAACAGACCACCAGCCAAGGGCCTCAGCCTTGAGTGCTGAGTGAGCACACAAGCCTTTGATTGGGAAGAAGCGCTGCAGAGCCAGCTGGCAGCCCCTGTGCAAAGCACTCGTATTCTGGGCACAGGGACTCCACTGTGTGGCTGCCAGAGCCTCCGTCTCAGAGAAGCGTCAGGGCCAGCCAAGAAACAAATGCCACTTCTTCCACTTCCTTTTCCTCCTCTTTCCTGACCCAGTGGCACCACTGACCTGCCCGCCAGAATTAATTGCCGGCTGGGAGAGAAGGTCTAGTGTTTTGGATTTGGTTCCCGAAGGAAAAAATGACTTACTTCAGCGGGTGGGAGGTGGGCTTTCAGAGGGCAGAGGGACTGCAGGGCAGGGAGCCCAGTGACCCGCACTCTCTGTGAGAGCGTCCAGCTGGCCTCCAGGATGAGCTGCAAGCAGAATGAGAAATGACCAAGAAACAGCTCACCGCACTGGGATTTATGGCACAGCCAGGAATATTTGGAGAAAATGTAGGAACCTCCCAGGTCCTGCACCAGCCCATGCATACGTCTGAAGAGTTGTTGCTTATGCACCCATCGCATGGAGGTTAGCAACATACAACATGTTCACAAGTCTAGACCCATGTTTTGCAAATAGAGGTTCAGTACGTTGTCTTTATTTTTTAGCATCCTCGTTCTCTTTTGGATACTTAAGGCAGATGTCAAAGGAAATTGTGGTCTCCCAAAGCATAAAGTTACATGAGAAATATCATCTCTCTCATAGGATTGAGAACATAAATATTGAGTAAAGAAAAAGCAAAAATTTTATTTCCATTAGAAAAAAAATTAAAAATAAAAGGCAAAGAGCTGAGAAGAGCCAGGTAGGCCTGGCTTTGTATCCCCAGTTTAACCACTCTTAGTGAAGTAACCCTGGATGAGTTTACTTAAATTTTCTGAACTTCATTTTCTTTATTTGTAAGAAAAAAAATATCCTTTCACTTAGGTGCAGATTAAAAGAGAAAAATATATGTAAAGTACATAGTATAGTATAGACTTCTGGTAAGTACTCAATAAATGTAATAATAATAGACTAGTAAGTAACACTAATTTAAATTTCAGAGAAGATAAATATTTACGTATACACACTTCATACATGTAACTATATTTTATCTTTTAGGAAGATGTAGGAGGGTGTGCTCCTTATAAGAGAATTTTATTTCCAATAAGTTGTATTTCAGGTAACCAGGGCAAATCACTGTCAAAAGTTTATAAACAAAATAAAGATAATGATAAGTAAGCGTACTTACCTAAAATAAATTCTTAATCAGCATAAAAGAAAAAGCTTTAAACTTCCACTTATTAAAGAGGTGTAAATTGAATACAAAATCATTTATTAATAAGCCCTTATTGTGTGAATACTGTTTAATATGCAATTCTCTGTGTTTATGCACTCTTTTACATTATAAAAGACAATGGAGAAACAACACATGAAGAGATATTTGCACACCATGTTCATTGCAGCATTATTCACAATAGCCAACAGATGGAAGTAATCCAAATGTCCACTGATGTATAAATGAACAAAGAAAACATATCTATCAATTTATATACAGATATAGGTATGTATAGCTATATATAGATACATATCTATATATAATATATAATGAAACATTATTCATCCCTTTAAAAAAAGAAAATTCTGTGTTGCATGCTACAACATGGGTGAAACTTGATGACATTATACTAAGTAAAATAAGCCAGACACAAAAAGACAAATACTCTATGATTTCACTAATATGAGGTATCTAAAGTAGTGAAGTTCCTAGAAACAGAGAATAGAGCAGTGGTTGCCAGAGGCTGGAGGAGGGGAAACAGAGCATTGTTCAATAGGTAGAAAATTTCAGTTTTGCAAGATAAAATGGTCTGGAGAGCCATTGTACAACAATGTGAATATACTCAACACTAATGAGCTGTACACTTAAAATAGTTAAGATGGTAAATTTTGTTATGTGGGTCTTTTTTTACCACAATTTTAAAAAAGATATTGGATTGCCTTCATCTTTGTCCATTTTAATCTTAAACAAAAGGATAAACTAAAAAGGCTGCTCTTTTGGGTTAAATTTTTGCCTAAAGCCTGAGATGCAGTGTTCATCTTCCTCTTCAATTTAGAGATGGTTTCAGTCACAAAAAGAATTAAAATGAATCATGAAAACTACTATTAGTCTTTCCTGGCATTTTAACATAATCTTCTCCGTGTTTAACATGAAAGAATCAAACTAAGTGAAGTTCGTCTTTAAGTAGAAAATTAATTAGAATCAGAAATACAGGTGGCGAGAACTTCTTGACATTCAGCGAGGTCTTTGCAATTGCTAAGAAAGAACATACTCGTTTCCCACAATCCAGTCCAGACTAGTAACAGACTTGGGTGAGTGACCTATTATGATAAGAAGAAGTCTCTGGTTACAGCTCTTACAAAACTTCAATTTTTTTTCCTACACAACAGGCATCACTCTTGACAGTCCTGCTCCACAGGAGACAGAAGCCCTTACAATTTGCTATCACTCCATCGGCCCCATTCTCTGCTTTAGAGGTCAGAGGTCTAGAGGTTATAGAGAAGATGGGAACCTTTGATGATATTCAGAGGGAGAATCCAGCCTTACCTGCAGAGAAAAGCTGAGAGAATTATTGCTTTTTAAATATTTTAGATAGTTTGTTTTTGTTCCCTATAGAAACACAAAGGGACAAGTGCACTGTATAGTGGAAAATTTGATATAAGAAATCATTGGTTCCAGAACTTCTTTTCCCTAGTTTTTTTGAGCCTGCATGAAACTCATCGAGTGTCCAAGTTTTCATTTCTTCATTCTATAAAGTAGGCCATGGCCAGATTCAGTACCACTTTTAGATGCTGCACTTTGAAGCCTTCCTTTGGTTGTGTCCCTTCCCACAGGGCTAAGAATGAAAGGAACCAAGGGGCACTGGGCCCACCCAGACCTTACATATCCCTCTTCAAACCATCGTCTGATACATGGGTTCACAGAGTTCTCTGTCTCACATGGACCTGGCCCCATTCCTGGACTGCATAAGCATGTTATCTGGTCTGTACTCCTGGGCGGGGGAGGGGGAGGAGGGACAGACACTGCAATGCTGTAGAATACACCCCAGGTCTATGAAGTGGCCAAGTAGGGTCTATTCGCATGGGTTGGAGTGTCCACATACAAGTTTCAAGGGTCCTTTTGGTGCAGGATTGAGCAGGGAATGACAAAAGAAAGGGACAGGCCGTGGACTGGAGGTCTTCATTTGCATTTTTGCCTGGGGCTTTACAAATATGGGCAGGTTTGGCATTATCTGCCTCTCTTATTGTATAGTTCATTAGATACCAAACAGTCCTTCTTTCTCAGACGTAGTGACAGGCTCCATTAAGGGAGATAAGGAAAACCATGCCTTAGAAATGATCACAATCTGACAGGGGAGTTCTATCATTATAAACATATACTTTCAACACAATGTGTAAAGGGCTATAAATCCCCACCTTCTTCTTCTCTGTATGAGCTCACATGACAATAAACCCCACATCATTAGAACAAATGCCAATTAAGACCATGCTGGGTGGCTCTTGACTTCTCTGCTAGGGAAGTCAAGAGCCTCCAACTCTGGAGTCATAGAGGTGGGTTTGAACATTTCTCTGCCATCTACTCTTTATGTGACTTATAGCAACTCCTCTAAGCTCAGTTCCTTAATTTGTAAAATGGAGATACAGCTCTCTTTCTCCTATGCAAAATGGAATTACTGTGATTACATGAAATAAAATTCATACTTAGCATAGTATCTGGGCTATAGTGAGCACTCAATAAATGATAGCTATGATTTTAAAAAACTGAGCTATTTTTTATAACTCTATCTTGCATTTTCCAAGAGCCAAGCTTTTAACATCCCTGCACGCTTTTAATATCCCTGCTTGGTTAGAAGCAACTTCTTTGAGGATATAGATTGAATAAGGGATTTTTCCTTTCACACCTAGCATGGTTCCTGGCCTGATATGTTTTGAATGAGTTCAGAAGAGAGCAAACACCATTTTCAAAGGTGTATTCAATGTCTATGATCACTTACATTCAACTGAAAACAAGGCAGTGATAGGAAGTTCTTTGATGGCAGATGCAACATACAGACCTGTACCCTCACTACTTACCAAAGTCTATACCTGCTAATAAGCCAGAGTGATCTGAATTCTTAGCTCTTCCAGACTGTGAATTCCAGTTAGGAAATTGACAATAAATCCATTTCTGTGCATTGCCTGGCTTTATATATTCAAAGTCCATGGAGTCCATGAGAATCTTCCAAGAAATAGCATTTAACTGTGTTATCAGTTGCATATTTATTAAAAATATGACTACTTATCAGCTTTTTCTGAAATGGAAATAAAAGTCACCAAGACTAAGAAAAACCAGAAACTTCTTTTCAAGTGGCTATTGTTTCCCTTCTCACTCTCTGTATATCCCTGAACATGTATTAGAAATCAATGGGAAAATAGGATTTCATGTTCAAAATTTCTTTTTATTTTCAACTTCTGGTAAAAAAACAACAACACTTGAGTGGTATATTTCAGAAATGTAGGGAATCAGATAATTTCCAGCTTGATTTGGTATAAAACTCCTGGGTCTTTTATTTTTCCTTGAGAAAAATGTAATTGTCACTCTGTGATCTTTCAGAGTTGATGTTTACACAGAAGAAATCTGAAAATAATCTGATTTTAGCTTTTTTCATAGTAAGTTGTAATAGGTGTTTTTTTTCCCCTTGCTTTGATGCTTGTAGATTTCACATAATTTAAAATTTTGTCACATTCTGTCCTAGCTTTGGATTTGGGGGCACTAATTTTCACTTAACTAGTCTATGATATAAATGAAGATGAAGGGAACCTGAATCAGAGCTGGAAGCAATCCTATATAATAAAAGCCTAATATGCAAAT